ACATTTCTAAAAAATGATAAACGAGAAATAGGAACCAAGAACAATTATAAATGCTTGTGTTTCTAGAAACAGGAAATATATTACCAAAAGCTTGGGCTCATTTTTTTATAACGTTCCAATTTTCTGTTTCTTGTTACTGTTTCTCAAATTCTCATTCTTGAGAAACATATATATTCAATAATCAATCTTGTTTCTCATTTCTAAATTTTGATAACATTTTAAAAAGAAGGACCAATCTTTAGAAACTACAAAATAGTTTCGTTTTCTATTTCAATATTCTTATTTTCTATCAAATTTAGGGTTTGATCCCCATTGATTGAAGGCAAAATTCTTTTTTTTTCTTTTATTATATTTATATTTTTTTAATTTAAAATATTTGAAATTTTATTTTTTATTTAAGTTATTATATTTTCTTAAACAAAAAGTAAAATTTTATTCTTTATTTAAAGGTAATAGTTTATACTTTCATATCAAAAAAATTTATATTATAAATTATATTTTCTTTAATATCGAGTATATGTTATATCTTTTTATATTACATTTACTAAATTTTATTTAACTAAAAATAAAATAAGCTAAACTGAGGTAAGGTATAAATTTTTGGTCGAGGTTGTGATTCGAATCTCACCCCTACAAGTTGTTGTACTAAAATAATAAAAATAGAAACAAGAAATAGTTATCAAACATATTTTTGTTCCTGTTTATTTTTTCAAGAAACAAAAAACATAAATGGTTAACAAAAGTATTCATGTTTTAGTTCTGAAAAGATTAAAAACAAGAAACACAAAATGAAAAATGGAAAATAGAAAACGGACGGCAAACAGGAAACGAGAACGTTACAAAACGAGCACGAATCCTTCCTCACCTCTTTTATTATAGGTTGACGGGTCCGAATCCACCGTATTTTTGTAATAGTATATTCTAGAACCAATGAAGAGGAAATTGCAATTTGGTAAAAGTCAAATTAGAGTCACACAGTTGTGGTGTCAATTGTGAAAGACTTTTTAACAAATTTAATTTGATTAAACAAAATTGAAAGTAAATGATTGAGGGAAATGGTTGACAAATGGATTGGTAATGAAGCACATGGAGGAGCAACATACAGCTTGTGACAAATTAATTTTATATAATTACATAAAACCCTATTATTAATATAGTTATGTAGCAACATGCTATTTTCTTCTTCTTCTTCTTCCTTTTTTTTTTTAATATAACAATTTGATTTGAATGTGGCAAAAAAGAAAAAAATATTGAATAGGTAATATATGTATAAATATAGTTTGAAGATTGAAATAAATTTTGCTTACCGACTCTATCGAATTTTTGGCCCCTTTGTATTTATTTATTTGACCTACTCCTTTACGTTGTATATTTATTAAATTATTATTTCTAAACAAAATGTCATGTCAAGATTTACCTTCCTTTGAGAATAAAAAAAATTCAAAAATGATTTCAAGTTTCATAGTTTGAAACTTTGGAAATGCTTTTAGAATTTTTAATACTTTAGTGGAAAGGAAAATGATTTTTGATTAATGTAATTAACCTTTTATATTCTGATGTTGGTTGGAAAATAAAAGAAAATAAAAAGTTTGTTGATGTAGACTTTTAGTTTTTTTATTTCTAATAAAAAAATATAAATATAACAATGTTAAAATAGTAATTTAAGATAAAATTTTATGAAAGTTTGCAAAACCAATCATTTTAGTCTAGAAATTTTTTTTAAGTAAATACAAAGAAATCATGTAGGATGTCAAATCATTCGCTCCATAGATAACAAACTACATATTCCTTTGGAAAATCCCTCAAAATCTTGTGAAAATAAACGTGATAATCTAACAACAAGAGAAAACTTATTAGAACTAAAATAAAAAAATTTCAAGAATATAATTGAAACTTTTCGAAGCCCGTGACTAAATAGATACAATTATCTAAGTTTGAAAATTGAAGTTATAATTTAACCCTTTTACATAAAGTCTCTTTCCTCCTAGTGGAGTAAAAAATCTATGTTTCAAGAAACTTTTTTACCCGAATGTCGGGTTAGGGTTAGTTGACTAGCTGAACGCTCTGGTTGGTAACAAAATCTATTAAAGAATGTCTTCAACAATAAATAAATATATATATATATATATATATATATATATATATAATTAATTAATTAATTAAGTTGCAGTAATTTTGAATGGAACATAAAAATATTATATGACCATTCCAAGAGACTCCGACTTAACTTCAAGTACATGTACCTAAATATTCCATGGAAAATTCTTTCCTTCCAATTTTAAGTACATGAAGAGAAAGAGATTTCAACTATGAATGAAAATTTTAAAATAATTGAATTTATCGATTATTTTAACTCAAATATACTAAATACAAGTTAATTGAAACATTTTTAACTTTGAGTTCAATAACATATCAGCGTAAGATTCAACCTCTGATTTCTTGATCTAAATTTATGTTGATTAATTTTGTAAGCCCAGTGGAATCTTTATAATTAAAATTAAAAGGAAGTTTGGTCTCAAAAAAAAAAGAAAGAAGGAAGTTTACCATGTGAAATAATTAAACAAGATAGACTATATTAAGTTTAATTAATAAGCATATTAAATGATCTAGAATTGCAAGTCTAGTCTATACTCCGATTAAAAAGTATGGTTAACTAATTAAAATCAGCTTATTCAACCAATAAAAATTATGATAACCTTACGATCAAATATTACAGTCTTCAATATATTAGTTATTACATTTTTCTTAATACAACAAATTGGGAGTACGAGGTTCAAACTTCTTACCTCAAGAAAATGAGTAGGTGCTAATTAACGTTGAATTATGCTCAGGTTGGTATATTAATTATTATATTAATCTATTGTTTTCCATCCAAGTTTACAGTGTATTTAAAAAAGACAAATGTCTCAATTAACTAATTCAAATTCTCAGAGCGAGCCTAGCTCAATAGTAATTGACATATATCTCCATCGTGAGTTCGATCTTCCACTTCGTATATTGTTCTAAAATAGAAAAATTAATTCAAATAAAATAACCTTAAATAAATATGTGTAACAAAATGTTAGGTAAAAGAATGAAAATTTAAACAAGATAGGGAAAGGAAAAGTAAGTTTAAATCTCAAGCAAAGAAAACGTCCTTTGAAAGAGTATTGCGAATAGTTGGAGGAATGACCAAATTAAATTACAAAAATGAAAGAAGAAAAAAAAGCCTCTAGTTGACATCATCATTGACCTCAAATATATAATAAGATCGAGACTTTTATTAAACAAACGATTTAGTTATCGACGTTCCTGCTTTTATTAAACTAACGATTTAATCTTTGAACTATAATTTGAAATCTTGTGGGTGGCAATTTAATTCTTAAACTTTAATAAATAGTAATTTAGTCACTATAGTTTAAAATTTGTAATAATTTAATCCTCACCCTAAAAATGTCATCAAAATTAAGCATCAATTATTATTATATAACAATGAGATTTTGAAACTTATTTTCACAGATGTTTAATATTTACAAATTTTACCGTTTTAGATTTCTGGATTTAAAATTTTTTTCCAAATGTCAAATTTACCCTTATTTATGGCATTTATAGTTACTACAATTAATTTTTATTTAAATGTAAAAGATTTAATGTTCCAAATTGACTTTCTAAACATTAAATCATTATGGGCCCTAAATTCCTAATTCACTCCTTGACATATTCTACTAAAGAATAAAATTTATTAAAATTTTTTTTTTTATTTCATTCCAACTTCTAAATACTCTGTACAAATGAATATAACAGAMATGCTAAAAACACGTCTTTCTACTTGAAAACACATCTTTCTACTTGAAAGCATAAAACTAGTTTACCCAATACAACAACATATATAAGTTAACAGCAAAATATGAGTACAACCGCATAAAAATAATCTCATTATAACAGCAATCGCAATAACATAAACTTATATGGAGATATAAACTATATTCGACTACCATTATAACATAAATTTATATGGAGGTATGAACTATATTCGACCATAAATTATAAGTGTTGATGGTAGCATGAAAAATTGATTCACCAAAATCAAGTTCATATAAACTTATATAAGAACTATAAAATATATACTACTATATCACACTACAATTAACAAACAAAACAAACTACATAATCAAATAACACACTAGCATATGCTAAAAAACCCATAGACTAGGATAATCCCCCATATTGAAGATCTATGTTTAACAATGCCCCAAACTCCAAACACTCAAAATTAGAAATCAGAAACAAACCTAAAAGTTTCAAAATGTAAACGATAGAAAACATGCAGCCAAAAAATGGCCCAGAGACGATAACGACAGAAAACAAAGAAGACGAAGAGATGGCCGGCCGAAAACCATGGCGAAAAGCGAGAGAAAACAAGACAAATGAAGAAGACGAAAAGATAACTAAAATTTGAGAAGTTTTTTTTAGGAAAGTTAAAAAGTACGGTAATTTAGGGATTTAAAATACAAACCGCTCAAATCAACCATTTTTCCATTTTTTATTTTCATATTTTAATAATAATTAAATGCATATAAAAAAAAAGTTTATACCGGTAAAGTTATGTGTTTCATCTTAAATGGGCCTATTTTAATATAAAAGTGTAAATTTTGTCAAATGAATCCTTTTATGTAATTATCATATCTAAGTAATTATCATATCTAAATGGTCTATTAATGTATTAATTCCTATAACAATTGAACCCTCGTCAAATTATCGATCTAAACATAAAAGAAACTTTATCAAAATCTTAACAATATTTTTCACGATAGAAAATAAATAGTTACAAATATTAAACTATGAGGCTAAATTGTTACATGTAAAAATTAAGAGACTAAATTATTACCAATTTGAAAATACAAGACTAAATCGTTACACTTCAATAAAAACAATAAAAGTACACAAACCTTTGTTCGTTAATAGTAGATATAGTGAGCCAAAACGAGTATAATTCAACGGTAAATTACTTGCAAAATCTCTCATAAAATATTCTTGTTCATGGATGTATATAAAATGCCAAGAAAGAAACTAGTTATTTCCATTCCAAAAACTCACAAATCCTTTCCATTTTTACCCTCTTCATTCCCATCCCATATACCAAATGACACTTGAGGTAGGATTCATACTATCATTACACATCTCTTACCTTTGTCAAAAAGAGAGAAAAAAAAGGCCAATCCAAACACCAAACACTTATAAAGCTAATACAAGAAACTAATCTTTATTCACTTTAGCACTGAGGTATTTACTAAAGTGGGAAAATTTAAGAAAGAAAATCAAGTGATTTTTTTTTTCCTTTTTTTCTGCCACTCCATATTTTCACAAAATTTTTTAATAATAAAAAAATAACAAGATTCTGTTCTTCTGTCATCTAAGAATAAAAGACTTAGCGTTTTGAAGTATCCCCAAACACCTCTGTGTAACAAATGGGGCAAGCCTGCAAAAACCAAAACACAACAAAACAAAGGGCATTATTATTCACTGAAAAGACTCCTCTGGCTCACAAGAAAACGTGGACTACTACTACACAAACATACATTAAAGTGGACCTTTCAGTAAATGAAAAACTTTTATTTAAGAGAAGAATAAATTAAAGTAACCTAAATTTTACTTTATTAAAGAGAAGAATTCAAGTTTCTTGAGAGTTGGGTTTAAAAACTTTTCCTACTTGTGGTGATCCATTAGTTTGATCTCATGGGTGGCTTTCCTAAAATATGTGTTATTTTTCTTTAGAAGACGTATAACCTCAAACTTTTTATAAACCACTCGGGTTATGAAATAATACAAAAAGGAAAAAAAACAACAGCCGAACAAAAGGGAGTCGAACTAAAAGAACCGACTTCAATCTAGATCAAACCTACGGAGTAGTCACAAACCACCCGTTAATAGCTCTACTAGAAATTTTTGGTGTAAATCAAAAACTATCTAACAGCCTCTTAATATCATCCTTATAAACCTACATATGATGCGAGTAAGGAGCTAGTGTACTTGATTTGAGGTGGATAAAAAAGACGAGAGAAGTTTGCATTGGACTAAACATGTCTGGGAATTATTAAGAACAGAAAGAAACGTAATCAGCATCGAATTCCCCACCCAATATAGATTTTGCTATACACACAAAAGCCTACCATCTAAGACCCATTTTAACTCCAGAATGGAATGGTTATCATGCAATCTCAAACAAAGAAAGAATCAGGTTTTTATTATATTAGAATATACGGCCTCGAGTCCTACGAGTAATAATACCTTGTTGACGCTAAGCCATTTGGTTCCACAACCAGCATGATAGATATGTTTGCATGGCAGAGTGATCCTTCGATCACCTCGTTTATATTCCATCTGGCATATCACACATCTACATGCAATTAAAAGGAACAAACTTAGACTTGCAAGAAAGAGAACAAACTAATACACAATCAATTATTCGAGATTAGAAGTAGATAGGAACTAGACTGGATTCTCAACCAGGTGCAGGTATTATATATAGAAGCCTAAAGTCCAAAATGTTTATCTAGAGGATACATAATACATATCGTTATTTGAATATTTAAAATTATCTGCATCTCGTGATAAACAGTTCAAAAAACAAAAAGAATAGATATTTTAGTTAGTAGAATGAGGAAATCAGTCGGGCACCATAGGTGATTGTGAGCTCTCATAAATCAATAGGAATACAAAAACGCTTGTATCTTCTATCAATGCATTACAGAAATAATCCTATTAACTGAAACCATTTGTCTTTTCTTCTTTTCTTAGAGGAGAGAATGAGTAGATAATTTGGAAGTCAATTTCATATGAAATTTTCTTCGTGCTTGATAATCAAATATTTATTACCCTGTATCCATGATTCAAGATGAGCTAGTAAGACAAGCTGCAAGTCAATGTTGATCAATTAAGGAATTATGAAATAATATGTGTGTGTGTGTGTGTGTAGAAGTAAAAATACTAAAAATTTTGCTCAAGAACTTGAACATGGGGATAACATGAGACATGTCAAGGTAGTGGCAGAGAAAGGGAAGGAAAAAATTTTAACAAACTCCATTAAATGCACATCATGAACAAAGATGTACCTCTCTCCACGAGATTTTTTCCTCGAGAAGAAACTATATTTGTACTTTGATATTGGAAGCAAAGCAATCAATTCTTGTGATAGACCTCGACTTTGAGTTCCAACTGTCTCACCCAACTCTAGTAATTCCTGAACTTGAAATATTATAGAATTTTATCCAAATATTAAAAACCACATATTTGAAGAAATCAGATCAGATACTAGATACGATGAAATTTGTTTAACATTACTCAGAAAAACAGACATTACGCCATGAACCAAAATAATGGTTCAGAAGGTCCATAGACCCCTATATCTTTATCAAACTAATTACCCAATAATATCCCAAAAAAACAGTTATTTTCATGTTACATTATTATAGAAACTTTTAGTGCCTCATCATGTTTTCTGTCGTATGATCAACCTGAAGTCTTCTCAAGTTCCTTGACAGTAATTCTATCGCATTCAGTTCAAAATCTTGTTTAAGACCAAAGGTAGCTTCAAGCACTCAGTAGATCTTAAAAATCGATTTTAGAATTCCATGGTTTTTCCATTCCCAAGAGCTACAGAGTAATGGGATAAATAATTTCACTAACAAATAAAAGTAGGAAAACAAGTATAAGAAAATTTTGTCAAATGCACTAACCTCATAAGTCATATTGTCAGGATCTACATTGTCTTGCCAAACAACCTGCACTTAAAGATAAAGCATCCACTCAGCAATGATTTTGAGCAAGTTTTTATTAACATGTTTAAAGTAGAAAGTTAATCAGTCAAACAATATGAAAGCACAAACCTGAAAATCATGTGAATTATGGTGTCTTCTCGGACCTGAGAGAAATCAAGAGAGAGTTATTTGAATCAATCGTTAGTGCTATGAGGGAGAGGAAAGCAGTGAAGAAATTAGAGATAAAGCAATAACTAAATTCAAGGGAGATCTGTATTTAAGAACCTTTTTCCTTTTGGATGTTCAATTAAACAAAAGCATACAAAAATTTTCTACAAGAGTTATTAATTCATCCATGTATGCAATGTTTTCTCAAGGTTTAACATGCAGCACATAATAGCTATTGAAAACAATATACAAAGATGAACACTGTTATTCCTCAACAATGATCATTAAAGGGTAACCAATTATATCCATTCCATTCATGTCAATTATGTTCAATGAAGTAATATATGTTCATCCTCCATGTCAATCAGTCTTAATGATAGTTAATATTTTGCACGCCTCCTGGAAATATCTATGGTGAACCCAACAGACATGAAACAATTGGAAAGACCTTTTTCTGAGGATGGGAAATATCTAATTAACTGAGACTTATAACTTACATTCTACATGGTTGTCAAATGTTGCAGTATTTGGAATTTCTTCCAATTCAAGATTTAGTGCAGAACTCTGTACAGCAGGCTGAGTTGCCGAGTTCTCTGGCCTTCTATGTTCATAAATTATGGGCTCATGAACATGATCATGCATCCTATAAGCTTGAGGTTGGCTGTAATAGGTAGGGCTCCCAAAATCTGAAAGCCCAAACTTGTAAAAGCTTGAATTCAGCGGAGGATAAATATTCTCCTGCAAGTGAGAAACTAAATAAGTTACATTGTCATTTTCCATTTATAATCAAAATTAAGTTAAGCAACTAGAGAGAGGAGCACTATGGTTGAGTATGAGATCGGTTTGGTTGTAGTTTATTAAGAGAATGCAACTTTCAACTTCAAAGCAGGTTCAACGCAAAGAGGAAGGTCAGAAGAAGAAAAAACAAAGAAATCCCTAGACATTTCTCCAAGATCACTCCAAATGTGAATATTAAACTCTCGCATCTCACAAATGGGAAGGGAAAAAAAAGCATGTGCTGTGAAGAAGATGATTTTCCATGAAGTTAGAACGACAGGCAGCAGTATATCAAAAAGAGATGCTCTCTCTGTTGTGAAGCTAAACAGCCAAGAACAAATCCAGTTTAGAACACAGAAGCATGCAGATCTGAACTCTGAAGTACCTGAGAATGTGAAGCACCGGAAAAAATGAAATTTACATGTTCGTAGGTAAGACCTTCAAAATATTCCAGAAAACTTCCGGCATTGTTATAAGGATAAGTAGTGTTGATATGATGAACTTCCGTATGTGTGTTGTTCCAACTCATTTCAAATATAACTGAATCGGACTCCAACAAATATTCTGTAAAATACAGAAATGTTAATACCAACAGAATATTTCAGGAAATAGTCAAAAGAGCAAATAGCCACTCCAAACTCTTCGTGAAAGCAAATTCTATCAAACTAAGCTACAAAGTGATCCTATCATGGGTTCAAAACAAAAAATCAAACCCAGTTTTCCTTTCCCCCTAAATGAGAGTAACAAGGCATGAAACACCAGCCCCAAGAGTACATAATGCCCCAGATTAAATGAAACGAGATTTGGCTCAGAAAACTATCGAAATCAATGAGTTTTTTCTAATAAAAGAAGCAGCAGTAAACATATACACAAATTGCACAGATCAGACGAGACATTTCGCCTAAAATAATCTGTCGCAGCCAAAACCATCTCTCAGCAAATCTTTAGGCTACCCACATCTCAGATCCCCGATCCGGTAAGAAAGCTATTAAAATTGAAGTTCCCCAGAATCAAACATTAGCAACAAAATGAAGTAATAATAAAAATATATATATATTATTATCGGAATTGGACTCCCGCGAGAAGAAAGGTACACTCGACGAGAAACAGCAATAGTGGACAAAGAAGGGAAAAAAAAAAAAAGATGATCCAAACCAAAAATTTCCTCGTTTCATCAAAATTAGACACAACCAATCGACAGTCAGCAAGCATTTGTAGAGAAAATCACCGATTAATCAAAATGTAGCTTCTCCAAAGGCTCGTAAGTTCTCACCTATTCTCCCCTCCGCGACCCCAATCTTCGATGCGGAATCTCAACGATCAAAAGCTCGCGAGTGCATCCGGTCACTAGAGGCAAATTGTTAGGAGAAGTGAAGAGAAATGTGAAGCACAGAAACAAAAAGAGACGCAAATGGATCGAGAAACCAACAAAGATAAAGGAGACCCAAAAAATAAAATAAATAAATAAATAAATCCGAAAAGGAAAAGCAATTGATTCTAAAGTAGGAGGGAGAAGGGGATTACGATTAAAGAAACGGACAATGAAAACTTTTGTGATGAAGAGAGAGAGAGAGTCTACGGTTCCATGATTGTGCTGGGATTGTTCAGCTTGCGATTGATTTTGTGTAAGGTTTGGATTACGGGGGGAATTGCAAATTGAAGGGCTACGAGAAGATCTCTCGCTTTCGCTCGTTTGGTTGTGAGAATTGAGTCTCTGCGAGAAGAGAAAGAGAATCGATTTTTGTTCTTCTTCTTCTTCTTCTTCTTCTCTCTGTGTTGGCTTTTTATGGGGGCGTTTCGGCGCCACGCGTCGGTTGAATGACAGGTGAGCGCGTGGGTACTACTTTCTTCAACTGTCCAACTGCCCACTCTCGCCCCCACTCCAAATTTGACAAAATGCAAGGGTTTGTTTGCAAATTTAAATTCTCGCATCACGTGTCTAATAAATTTATAAATTTTAGCAAATCTTTAATGCGGTGGAAATTAGATTAAAAAACTTGTGAGAAAACAAACATAATTTTTAAACATGATCAATGGAGGTCTAAATTTTCTCTCGTTTTTGTAATATAACTAATATTTTAATTTAAAAAATGATCAGTAGGTCGTAAACATAAAATTGAGAGTTGAAGAATCTGCTAGTTCGATAATCCATTGGCCACAATGTTGATAGTTTAAGAATCTCTTTAACATTTTTTTAAGTTGACTAGCTTATTAGATACAATTTTGAAAGTTTAAGGAACCCAATTTGTTAATAAAATAAAAGATAGATTATAAATTTCAAGTCATGAATTTTGATGATACTGGTCGTTTAATTCTTACAACTTTAAAAATATTTGGATTGATATATTCAAACTTTTAATCCTAATTTTCATACTTTTGCTAACTAAATGATATAACATGGACGCTTTATTTCATTATCCTGACATTTGGTGGAAGAAAAGTGAACAATTAAGCGGGAAAAAAAAAAGAAAGAAAAAAGAGTGGCAGGACATTTTCGTGTGTTGAAACTACGTATCAAGTCTTTTTTTATAGACAGTATCAATCTATTAGTTCCTATCCTACTATTAACATCATTAACAAAATGCTAACACGATGTGCCCATGAATAAAGTGTCGATTGATTTGATGTTATATATATGACAAATAAAAAGTGAATACATAGATAAATTAATTTAACTTACTTGATTGTATGTCTACGGCTTTAGTCTATTTAGTCACCCACTTATGTCCACACGTGTCCCCTCTATTTTATTAAAATTGGAGGGAAAAAAGTTATTTTATCCTTTATTTTTCACTTTTTTGGATTAAATTAAATTAATTTATCAATCTAATGGTCTTTATTTAGTGTGGGCTTAGATTGCAAAATGAATTGATATTCATCCTACCAAATTTGAGAAAATTAAAAATTGGGTTTGAAAAATGGACCAAAACCCAAGTTTTTTGGTAATGTGTTGTGAAGAAGTGGTTGGCCTCAATTTGGCAAGAGAATAGTTGAAGAAGGATCACCAACACCATCTCATATTCTTGACTCTTTTAAAAGGTGGTCAGTTGGTGACTGTTGGAGGTTTGTTAAGAATCTTCTTCCTAAGACTAAAATAAAATTCGGCATATATAAATCTTTTATTTATTCGTTTGTTTGAGTTGTAAGAGATATTCGTAGAATCTGACTTGTTCGGAGTCATCTAACTTTTGAATCAGCAGGAATATGTAAACCTCGACGTATACTAATGGCTTTATAAGCAAATACCTGGATTTGGCGCCACAACAAAAAAAAATGTGAAAGCATTTGTTCAAACTTGGGGAGGGAAAATGGGGTAGTGCACGCGTTGGCGGAACATACTTCTCGCTTGGAGATGAAGTGAACCAAGGAAGAAGATGAGAGAGGAGAAAGAAGAAAGGAAATGACACGTCACATGATAAAATTATATAAATTTAAATTTTTTTTACAACTCATTTAAAAATGTCGAGTTAGAAAAGTTCAGTCACTTATTAATTGTCACGTCATTTTTCCGTTAAGTTAAGTAATGGTCAAAAGATGTTCAATGACCATTTAGAACAATTTTTCAAACTTCAAGGACCAAAAGTGTTAATTTGAAACTATATAAACCAAATAGATACCTATTCCAAACCTCATAGACAAATGTTCATCTTGAAACTTTAACGACCAAATTGACACCTATCCCAAACTTTGGGATAAAAATATTTTTTTCCCTATATTTTACCCCACCATGTTGTTATTTTTATTTTTATTTTTTCTTTTTCTCATTATGTTTTAAAACTTTTTCTTTAATATCTCTATGCATAATAAGTAATGTACTTTATTTAACACATTTTCCAATATTTTCTTAATTTTTGTAACTCTAAAAAGGAAAAATAACTATTGTCTATTTAATATTTGCATATGTACTACCTACCCAAAAAGTGACTCAATATTCAAAGGGATCAATACTTTTCTGAAGAAGAAAACTAGGGAGACAAAGTTTATGAAAGTACATTTAAAAGATGGATTTTTTTGTACAAGTGATGGATTTGATATGAGACAAATAATAATTAGTTTTAGAAATGTATCCTTTTAAATGGACTCAGACAAGAGAGTCCTAAAATAAAAGTTTGATATTTTAGTTAGCACCAGGAAGAGGTATACTTTTTTATGTGTCTTTAACTCACCAAACCATATTATTATTAAGGTCATTAATCATCATCACGGGTATTTATATACTATCCATTGATGCTGAAAATTGGAGAGGTCCATATGTTCTTCGGAACGAGTGACTGTGGAACAAATGAGTCTGTAATACGAATCTCGACATTGTTGCGATACCCTGCCTAATACTCTCCGACGATCAAATTAGTAATCGAAGAAATAAGAGAACGGTAAGCACCTTAGTAGTTTAGTGACATATATTTCACTTACCCTGTGGTTGTGGTGTTCTGTCATTTTTATAGGTGTTGGGGTCGACCAAGAAGGACGTTTGGCACGCGGCGTGGTGGGGTTCATCGACATACAAGATCTTGATAGACCATTAGGAGGGGCGGCAGCCTAGTCGCCTGCCACCCTTTCTAGGCATACTGTCGAAGGGTGTGTGGCGTCTCTCATACGTTCTTGTAGATGTCAATGTTGCTCCCTCATCTGATCGTACTTTTGCAAAAGGTTTGGTCCCCACTGCCAGCTATCGCCAGTCGAGCCTCCCACATCTCCGGTTAGATTTTCACCTCGACACTATCAAACCTCTAAAACTGCATTCTATAGTGAGTATTTAAAAAATACTTAGTAAATAGAATTTTACTCTAGCAACAATATAATTAACTATCAATCACATACCACTAAAATCTAAATAATCTCATCATATGAGTTAGCAAAAAAAGATTTAATTGGTTCTGCTTTTTAGTACAATAAATGTGGAGTATGAGAATTTGAACCTTCAAACTCTAAATTAAGGAGTAGATGTCATTTATCGTTGAGCTATGTTCATACTTACGTGATTTGTCAATTTTAATTACGATCTTGTGACAAACCTCAAATATTTTGTAATCCTATTTGCCAGATTGAGATGAAATTTAACCTTTGATTATATGGTAATTTATTTGAAGCATCAATATGGCCCTCCTATTTGTGGAATCCCAAGGCACTCCATATTGTCATCCTTGGATTCCATAATGTGAACTGAAAACAACATAAATAGCATGTGTATTGTGACCATGATTCAAACAAACAACATAAAATAATTTCATGAATCTTCTAGTACATATGCTAAAATTACTATTTCCATGTAAGATATATATATATATATATGCAGTGAGAAAACATTTATCTTCATATACATTTTCTAAAATATTATTTTCATAACTCCTGCAATGAGAATTCTAATTCTCATTCTTATCCATTATGATATGAAACCAAACTTAACATGAACTCATCTAACGCTTCAAAATCTTTTCTTCGTGTGAACTTTCTACTATTTCAGAAAAGAAAAAAAAAATTGAACTTTCTACTTTTATCGTCTCATCTCTTCGATCCTCACAAGTTATTCATAGGGTTGTACTCTAAAGTAAGATCGACTCTAGTTCTCTTTTCTACTTTTCAATCAAAATAATGCTTTTAAAAATCCAATTCAAATTCATATTTTTTAACTCACATATCTTCCTAGACTCCTAATCATATAAACTAAAACAAAATATCATGTCATGAAGCTCATTTATCATAAATACAAATATTGTTTTTCACACGTGGAAACTTCCAGTGACTCCTAATCAATAGCAATAGAGAAATATAATGATAAACTTAAATGCAAAAATGAAGAATAAGAATGGCAAAGAAACTTTCAAAAGAACTAGTATGTGAACTTTGAGAAATTAATTGAAAAAATAGTATAATGAGAGATGTTGTCTAGCATGGGGTGAAAGCAATCACACAAGCCTTAGCCAATGGGACAATGCCTTTTTTGAGACAGACTCAGACATCATGTGAATTATTTGGAAGAGAGAGAGAGGAGAGAAAGAGAGCACTCAGTGAATAATGTTCTTTATTCCTTCTGTCTCCCAATAGATATATTTTCTTTTTTTTTTAATCAAATCACCATTTTTTATCTTTATCGCGTAAGTTTCGAAAAATAATGAGTTGTCGAATATTAAATGGGAAGGAGAACATCGTTGAGGAGCTAAATATTTTCCGTAAATTACTATTGTTTTTTGATTGAGTTACGTTAAATTACTAATTACTCTCTCCCAATGAATGGAATGAAAAATCCTCATTTGGAACTATATTAAGAGTTCCCAAGTAAGAAATACTTTGAACAAATATCCTAGTATTGGATGCAAACGAGGATAAGTAACATCATAGCATACTTTTAAGAAAATATTAGACAAACCTTCAACAAAAGAGTATGTGTAGTCAAAATCGACAATGTTAATGATGAGACTTTCTTGTGTGTATTCCAAACAAAAAAAAGGTGAGCGACGGTCAAAGTAAAGGATGTTGTACTTGCCCACCTCGAACTAAACCTTTATTCTAGCCTTAGATTTTTAATTACTACAACGAAACTGCATCTTTATCGTTGATCCTAATCACCTCGACTTCGATCCTAAACTTTTTTACTATTATCTTATATTTGACATCTCAATCTATCCTAACCCCTATCTTCACTTTAATTTTAATTATGCATTACACTTCTCTATCTCTAACTCCAACCTTGATCATGTCACCGACTTTAATAATTATTATTTTACATTCTAGACAAGGTATTAAATTTCTATCAACATTTTCATATGTTTTCGACATCAATACGAGAGGTGAATCAATATCTCTATAGTTTTACAAAAAAAAAAGGCAATATATATATATATATATATATAACACAATATCACGACATAATATTAATATTGACAATGTTAAACTTATTTAAAATGGTGAAATGTTTATTTCTTAATCTAAATATTTATTATGAATTTTTTATTTTTATAATTTTTCTAGAAATATAAATCGATGTCAACATTTTATCGAAAATTTCATCCACATTTCTATAAAATTAAGACCTCGACATTTTCATCGAAAATTTCATCTACATTTTTATTAAATTAAAATCTCGACATTTTCATCAACATCAACTTTTAAAACCTTGATTCTACATCTCCCTCCTAATCTCGATCACAAACCTGCAGTGGAATTTACTTATTTCAAACAAATAAGTTCATTGTTGTTAATCTCTTATTTGCAAGCCTGCAAAGCATTTCTTCAGCCCTAACCCAAAAATCCCTTAAATATAACACAAAATGGCTTCTAATTTGATTATATACAAGACTTGGAGCATCAAAAGGAACTGTAACTATATTCTGAAAAATCATGTAAAATACAGGAGTTTACGGCTCCACGCATCTTGGCAATTGATTTATTGCAATAAATAACTTACCTTGTGCTAAATGGTTTTAGAATGACATATGACATTTTCATCATCTTCCGAGAATCCTCTCCCTTTTCAGAATTCATTTCTGAGATCTTCGACATCCATCGGAATACAGGGATATCATGCAGACCCCGTCAATCCTTTGTGTTTCATTCTTGGGAACGTACTCTCTAGATAGGATACTAGCTACGACATTGATACACAAAACGTCTAGTATCCATTGGTTGTGGCTAAGAATTGCTAGGATGTCTTATCCCATCTGCTTCCCTAGCTTTCATCTCTTGGTATCAATATCGGCCCACCAGAGTACTTTCGTCATTGATGTTCTTTTCGATCTCTATGCATTTCACAGCACCAAAGACCATTCTCACAACATGAATCTCAAAGCCCTTCCTTCCTTCCCGTGGGCACCCTTAGCAGTTAACAGGCCATCTCTAAAATGTGGGGAATCACATTGATTAGGAAGCCGATGTGCATAAAACAAACGTAGAAGGAAAGGAAATAAAGGTTTCCAATAAAATCTTGCTCCAAGGTTACAATGAGTAGAAGAATCAAAAGCACCACAGAACATCCACAGAATGAATTTTATCTTGTTTTCATACCACAACCAAAAGCCTCCCATGATCACATTCACAACCATCTGACAATGTGAGCCTAAAATTTATTATATAGTTCAAATCTTATTTTTATCCCCAACCTTTCTACTTATTTTGCTTTGGTCCACTTTTAATTATTCTATTCAATTTTCAAATATTTTGTTCAAAATACTTAAATTCTAAAGAAAAGAGAAACTATTTTAGACCAAGACACTTTTCGTACTTATACTTTCATTGAAGTAACGATTTAGATCCTAAACTTGAGTTTGTAACGATTTAGTTCTGTACTTTCAAATTGATAATAGTTTAGTCCCCGTAGTTTAAAGTTTGTAATAATTTAGTCCCAATCGTGAAAATTTTTGTTAAATTTATTATATATGTAGATCGTTAAACCAATGAAAGACCAAATGTTTTTATAAATTACAAAGATTAAGTTGCTATATGATAAAAATCAACACTTAATTCTGATGAGATTTTTCACAATAGGGACTAAATATTACAAAATTTAAATTACAAGACTAAATTGTTACCTACTAAAGTTTAGAGACACAAATTGTTATCAATTGAAAGTACAGAGACTAAATCGTTACAAATTAAAGTTCGGAGATTAAATCGTTACTTGTAAAACTATTGAAATCAAATGTGTTTTTTAACCATAATTATACATGGAGAAATCTATGAATTAAGTTGGGGAATAAAGATTGCATATGCCAACTTTCTAGTAAATAATTACAAAAAGAATTGCCTGCAATAAACAAAGTTTAAAGACTAAAACAAAATGAACACTTTGAGATCAAAACTGAATAATCATTAAAGTTTATGGGCTCAAATAGGATTTAAACCGATTTACATTCTGTATCACTTTTTGAAATTGCTTTGTCCAAAACTGATAGAAAGCAGTCCTATTTTATTGATATTCAACGAGAGAATTACAGTGCCAAGGGAGAAATATGAGATCTCCAACCTCTCCACTGACCTCACTAACAACGCAGCAAAAAGGATCCTCCTCTCTCTCCTACGGCCGATATATACACCCACAAAATACCCAAAACAACCCTTATGATAACTAACTCAAGCCCACAACATTCCCCACCCAAACTTTCTTCTCAATCCTCACCCGCATCTTTTCTTCTTAGAACACACATTCTTGATAGGGGGCCTATCAAAAACATCGTCACAGTTTAGGACGTTTAAAAACCCAAGATGCTACTAGTGTTGGGCACGTATAATAATCCTGAATCATAATCCACTGTCACATATGCTTCCATGAAGCACGTAATAAAACTTGCTGGTGACTTATTATAAGAATGGTGGGGCAGAAGATGTACCTGGTTTGCATTTCATTTCTGTTTGATGTTCTTCTCTTGCCAAGTAGATGCCATGCTTCCAATATAACTGGACAAGGAAATGCAAGCAAAAATTCAGGACACTGAAGAAGCTTGGAAACAATTCATTTAACATCCAGCAGATGAACATTCTTTTACCATTCAGAAGAATCTTCTACTGCTGATCTTTTTTGTGGAAGCTTTCTGGACTGAGAGGGAGACCATAATCTCAATGTAATGAAGAGAATCACTTCTCATCATAGTCGCTTCTAGACTAGAAAGCTTTCTTTTAATAACTGTTATGTTTTGAACCGGGGCATGTCGGAGGGTCCCCACCACTTGTATAATGCTAATACCCACCTTCCACTGACCTGCAGAGAGGCTTGACACAAAGATAGCTAGGGAGGTATCAATGGTTTTAAGTTAAAATTCTCAACTTGGAGGCTTAAACCCAGGACTTTTCGATGGGTATCTCTAACATTCCAAGTCCTTACCATCAGGACATCCTTAAGAGGTAACTAGAAAGTTTTCTAGTGACGATCTTTGTAGCATAATCATGTCTCATCATCAAGATTTGAATTTTCTCTTGGAAACATCCTTGAGCACAAGCTTGTGAGAGAGAGCTTAGTAGGTTTCTTAACTCAAATATGGCAACCTAGATCAGCACCAAGAGGAAAGTTCTTTCAATGAAGAAGTTTCATCCTCAACAAGTTCGAGCTGTCTTGTTAATCGAGTCAAACACTCATAAATTTTCTCTGATTGAGGATGTGATTGGTCACGAATTATAAACTCAAAAACTACACCATTCATTTCAATTGAACTGCAACCAGGTGTTTTCTCCACCCCTCTTTCTTCCATCATCTTTCTCACCTTCCTTGCCTGCTCCCACATATTAGCGTCGCCATACATATTTGCAAGCAAAACATAAATTCCACTATCATGAGGATCCAACTCAAGAAGCTTAGAAGCTGCTCTTTCTCCCATTTGAACATTTCCATGAATGCGGCTGCCAAAGAACAATGCTCCCCACACTACGGCATCTGCCTTGAAAGGCATGCTCTTAATAAGCTCTTCCGCCTCTTCCAAGAAGCCAGCCCTACCTAGAAGGTCCACCATACAAGAATAATGCTTAAGGTTTGGGGAGACACCATATTTGGAGCTCATTTGGTAAAAATACTCTCGACCTTTATCGACCAGTCCACCGTGACAACAAGCTGATAAGACCCCAAGGAAAGTGATCTCATCTGGCATCAGTCCAATGCCAATCATCTCTGAGAAGTAAGTTACGGCAGCATGTGATTGTCCATGAAGTGCTAAACCACAAATTGTAGCTGTCCAAGTCAATGAGTTTCTTCCTGGCATCTCCCGGAAAACCTGTAGAGCCCTTTTTATGTTCCCACACTTAGCATACATGTCAACTAGAGCAGTCCCTAAGGCAACGTTCACAGAAAGATTATGTTTTTCAACATAATGGTGCATCCAAATTCCAACATCAAGTGCTCCAAGTTGAGAGCATGCAGACAAACAACTAACGACAGTAATCTCGTCCGGTTCAACATTGCTGGCTTGCATTTCATGAAACAGAGCCAAAGCCTCCTTACTACGCTTGGCTTGAACAAAGCCACCAATTAGAGCATTCCATGGCACAACATCCTTCTCTGGCATCTCATTGAACAGCCTCATAGCACTTCCCAACAACCCAAATTTGGCATATCCAACAACCATTGTAGTCCATGAAACAATAGTTTTCTTTGTCATGTTCTCAAACAATGTCTTTGCAGGCTCAATATTCCCACACTTAATATACATATCCATCAATGAATTCGTAAGTGGAACGGTCAAATTTAAACCCATCTCTTCAATGAATTGATGAAGCTTTCTTCCAAGAGTTAAATCCTCTAGCTGGGCAGAAGCTGAAACAACTCCAATCATTGTGACCTCATCTGGCATCACTTTCAGTTCCTCCATCTTATAATAAAGATTCAATGCTTCATTTGCCAGCCCACACCTAACATATCCATTGATCATGGAGTTCCAAGAAACCAAATCTCTCACACGACTTTCATCGAACACCTTACGTGCAGCCAACAATTCTCCACATGAAACCAGCACATGAATGATCGCATTGTGCACAAACAAATCCGAATCAAAACCCAACTGTAGAGCATGCCCAAGAATCTCACCAGCCGTGAAACCCAATGATAAACCAGCACAAGCTTTGAACAACAGAGGATAAGTATAATTATCAGGAGTCGATCCACCTTTCCTCAGCATTTTCCTGTACATAAGAACAGCATTTCTGGGATTTTCACTCTCGGAATAACCCCTAATCGCCACATTCCAAGAGAAAACGTTGGGGTTCTCCGCATTGTCGAGAATTTTGTCACAATAGTCAAGATTTCGCCACTCCGATATCGCACAGAACGCGACGAGGCGACTGAGGGCAAACCCATCTGAGATGAAGCCGGTCGAAATCATCTGGGCTTGAACTTGCTTCATCTGCGCCATGGAAGTGCATTTTTCGAGGAGGAAGAGAAGTGGCTTGGATTGAATGAGGGCGTGAGATGCGTTCCAATTGGTGGGTTTGTCTTTGTGATGAGGAAGAGAGTGAGTGCGGAGAAGGAAAATGATAGGGATTTGGAATGGAGATGAAGTTGGAACCAGAAGCGGAAATCTGAAGCTGAGGAGCTTAACATTAAGATTGATCATGTGAAGCTGGAGGTGAAGTTGAGGAATGAGAATAATGAAGGATATAAAAGGCGCCAAATGACGTTCTTTGATATTATTTTCTCGGGGATTTTTGAAAAACCAGTTTTGGCGAAAATTTAGGGATGTTTGGTAATGTACTTTTCTTGTTTTTCGTTTCAATAAATCTACTATTTCACGATTAATTTGTTCCTTGTTTCTCTTTTTCTTTTTTTAGAATATTCTCACGATTATAAATTTCGAAAACCATCAAAATTTCTTCTTTTTGTTTTCATTTTCACTTTTGAAATAAAAAGATTGTTTTCTCATACTTGAATTTTAGATATTTGAACCATACAATACATTTTTCTTCATTCAAGATAAAGAAACAAAAATAAAAAATACTAACGTTACTAAACGAGCCCTTAGAGTCCCTCTTGTTTCCATGTTTCTTTTTTTTCTAATTTTTTATAACTACAAACAGGAATACACTCCTTGAGATTAAATATGCACGATCAAAATGAATATAGTTCAACGATAATTGACATATATCTCCAACTAAGAGGTTGTGAGTTTAATCTCCCACCCCCACTTGTTATACTAAAAAAGAATTAATAATAAATATGCACGCCTACACCAACAGAGAAATAAATCTATCCTTTTTATAATTACATAATTTATTACATACTAAGAAATGAAAATATAAAAAACGAAACTACCTTTTTTTTTCAAAATTTAGCCTTTTTTTAATAAACATTTCTCAAATTTTAGAAACAAGGAAACAGGAAAAGTTATGAAACATGTCTGTTTCTCAAAAAATGAGAAATTGGAATAAGAAACGGAATGTTACTAGACGAATTGTTAAATCCGAAATACGAATTATATGATTATGTTTGGTAACTAATAATTTTGCGGGATTTCAAATTCGGGTGAAATTCAATGAATTGGTTATGTTTGTTTTTCATCCCTAGGATGAGAAGGTATCTAAATATATAATTTATTTACAATGGCAAATTTTTGGCGAGGTCCACGTGTTCTCGAGAATGGTACGTCGTCAAAGAGTAAATGAACCTACAACCAAAAAACTTGACGTTGGTGCGGTATTCCGAATAATACACTCCAATGATCAAGTCAATAATCGGAGTAAAATAATAAGGGTAGACACCTTAAGAATTTCAATGACATATGTTTCACTTACTTGCTAGTGATGGGGTCCTTCCCCCTTATAGGCGCGGATGGCCGATCAAGAAGGACGACAGTTTTGGGCGCAGGGGCGCGTTGGGTTGTACGGGGTTCTGACGAGCTAGGGCGGACATCCTTGACATTTGGTAAGCAACACCTTCACTTGTCAGTCGGTGCTCCTTAGCTGCAAGCCACGGGCTACGACTTGCGACGTGCTTCCCGTACAGCTCTAGTGGTGACACGTCCATACGCGCTTATAGTGTACGTTCCTAACTGGTTGTGGTCTCATGTCTCGCTATTACCGGCGCTCGACATGTCACCGCTCGAATTTCTCCCTCAACGATAGTCTTCAAAAATATTTATAGATCAAATATCACATTTAGTAAAGATTTATGATACATGTATAGGGTGTACTCAATATGTTCGATCTTGCTTCACATATGTATTAGATTAGAAATGATACATTGGAGCGGATGTAAAGCTAAGCAAATAGCTTCAGCTCCAAGAATTGAAGATTGTGTTGGTTGTAAGAGATATGAATCCGCTTGTCCGATGGATTTCTTGAGTGTTCGCGTTTATTTATGATATGAAACAACTCGAAGCATGAGTTTTGCTTATTGATACGTTTTATAAAAGCATATGCGCCTCAAACCCTCCTAACTACCAACCTGAACTGTGTTCGTCTAATTGTTACTACAATTTAATACTTATTTTTATTTTCAATTTATACATTTTCCTTATTTCATATAATTTTAAATTTGATTTTTGCCGAAGAACTCCACAAAACTCTTTAAATTTTTTCTTTACGTAGTTTAGATTTTATATACTTTTTTAATTTAAAATAAATAATTTAAATTTCTATATTTTCTAGATTTATATTGTAGATTATATATTTTTTTAAATAATAATTTAAATCTATCTCTAAAATACCTATAAGTATGGAAAGTAATTATATTTCTAAATTTTATCCTCCCTCTTCTAGACTTGGAGAGAAAATTTAATAATACTTATATTGAACAAATTTCTTAAACTATGAATTTAATACATGTGTCTAATAGGTCTACAAACCTTCAATTTTAAATCTAATAGATGTTTGGATTTTTATTATTATTTTTTCTTAATATATGATCCCTAATCTCTTAGATTATTTTTTAAAGTTCAAATGCCTAATAGAAATAAAATTGACATTTTTTAAGCATATAACGATATTAGACACAAATTTGAAAGTTAAAGGACAAACTTGTAGTTTACGTAATCTAATATCGAAAAACATAAGCTAATATACGTGTGTGTATACATAGATACATACATATATCAATGTGTTTTAAATTCTCTTTATACAAATTTAAGCCTCCCTGACATAAGTTATGGATCCATTACAGAATGTAATGGTTAAAAAAATAGACATTATGATCATAGTCATTCAACTTTAAAGTTTAAACTATTAAATTTGTAATTTACACAAAAAAGGGGTTAAATTATAACCATAGCCCTTGAACTTTAATACCTATTTTTATTTAGTTTTTAAACTTTTAAACTTTTCAGTTATGTTATTGAATTTTTTCTTTTTTTTTTAATCTTTATTCTAATAAGTTCCCATCATTAATATTATTGCTTAAATATTACATGCTTGATTGAACAAATAAATTGATACATCAACTACGTGAAACCACATTTAATGAGCCAAAATTTTGATCTAAAATTTATTCTACCAAGGTTTTAAAGGTCGATGTCTCAATTTCATGAAAATATCGATGAAAATATCAATAAAATGTCGATGTTGATAGATATTTTTATAAAAGTTAGAAAAATTAAAAAATTATTTAAATTTACGAATAAACATTTTTCTATTTCTAAATTAGTTAAAAATAATTAATATTAATATCATGTATATATTGTTAATATTTTTCATACTTTGTCGATTTTCTTGTATTATGATGGAAATATCGATTTATCCCTGACGTCGAACCCATAAAAACATGAATATATTGATGAAAATGTCGACGCATCGACGGATATTTAAAACAGTGATTATACCACCAGCTGTATCTAGTTTTGTTTAGCCCATCACTTCATTTGCTTACTCGTCTTCACTCTTGATTACCACATCATTTCTATTCTCACTGGTTAATTAGATCATCTTTTTAAAGTTTTAGAGAAATTCTCTTTGCAAAGATCATGTACGTGGCAACTTGCAAGGGAAAAAAGAAAAAGTAGGATCTCATACTCTGAGATCAAGGCACAACGGGAACATAAGGCCCACACAAAAATAAAAGCAGGAAACCGAACAAAAAAAAAAACCAACCACACAAAACCAAGAACAAAACCAAAAATACAAACAAAAAGAAACGAACTACAAACTCGAAAAGAAAAAATAACTTCCAAGCAGTCTCTATCAAAGTTCGACCTCTGGAATGAACACTATCACGCCAAGTGAAAGCATAAGCATAAACATCACTCTGAACAATATGTAATATAATCGAATCCGAGCGATAAACACCTCTATGGATTTTGGAATTATGCTTCTCCAAATATGAGATCTAGATACAGCCTAAGCAATTCTCCATGATATGTATCTAGGTGATCGACTTTCTACTAATACGACACGTCAACTCCAGCTCTGTAAACAGTGGGCGCACAAATACTATGTGAAGAGCCTCTCGATGCAATCATACCACTCCGTACAAGATTGCTAATAATACAATCAAAGAAAATATGGTCCCGAGTTTCAATCCTATCAAAGCAAAGTACACAACAACCTGGATTAGAAGAACACCAAGAACGAATATGATCGCAAGTCGATAGACGATCACCAATAGCCAACCAACTCAAGAAATAATGTTTAGGGATACCACCAAAAAGCCAAATCACATAATTTGAAGGGACGTAGGTGTTCTTGGGACAAAGAGCATCCCAAACACTTGAGATAGAAAACAACACAACGAAGTCAAAATAATCCTGTCCTCTATCTCAAGAGACTTTGAGGCATAGCTTCTAAAAAACTTGTACTTCGAAAAAATCAATGAAAATATATGGTCAATGTTACTTCTTATCAGGACCTATAAAATAAAAACTCATAAATTTAGAGAATTTTAAAACTAAATAGATGCAACCATTCAAATTGCATTGAAAATGAAAAGAAAAAAAAAAAAAGGTAAATCTTACCATTTTTCCAAATACAACATATAGAGGTGAGAATTCGAAGTTACTTGCTGCGCCTGTTATCTAATCATTTAACAACCTAGAAAGAGAAAAGAAAAGAAATTTCTCAAAGTTTCTTTTCCAAAAATACAATTTAATCAGAAAAAAAAGAGAATGCCCAAAGTTTCTTTCTTTTTCCATAAAGTTTGGTTCTCTTTCACAAATCCGTTCTAATTTCGAATCAGAGTTTACAGAAGAAGAAGAGTCCCATTTGCTCTCTTCTCCTTCTCCCCCATTCCCGCTCCGACAATTCTTTGATTCTTTGGAATCCTTCAAAACCCTAAACCCTCACAGCCCCGAATTTTTGAATTCATCCTTCAAACAAATCTCCAATGGCTACCAATCTCGCCCTCCGATTGAGATCACAGCTCCTCTTGCGGTCAACTCGTTTCCAGTCCACTTTCCGCCACATTCCAGCTCCCCCCATCTCCAAATCTTCATCTCTAATTTCCCCCCCACTCTCCGATTTCCGTCGACTTCCTGATGTACCGGTCTTCAGCTTCTCTGGGTTTCGCTTTCTCTCAACGGCACGGCGGAATTTGACCCGTCCGAAGCAAGTAGACATCGGAGCCCGCGCCCGGCAGCTCCAGACGCGGCGGCTCTGGACCTACGCTCTGACCTTCAGCTGCATCGCGGGGTTTATCGTGATCGTACTCAGTAATTTTCAGGAGCATCTGATGTTCTACGTGACGCCGACCGATGCACTTGAGAAATACTCGGCGAATCCGTCGAAGAACAAGTTCCGGCTTGGTGGTCTGGTTCTCGAAGGCAGCGTGGTGCATCCGGCGTCGTCTCCGCAAATGGAGTTCGTGATTACGGATTTGATCACAGATATATTGGTCAGGCATCAGGGATCGTTGCCGGACTTGTTTAGGGAGGGGCATTCGGTGGTGGTGGAGGGTTTTGTGAAGCCATTTACCGATGAGATAAGGAAGGAGGTCTCTACGAAGAGTGTTTCGGGGAAAGCGAGGAGTGGGGATTACTACTTTTCGGCTACTGAGGTTTTGGCAAAGCATGATGAGAAGTATATGCCTGCGGAGGTTGCTGCAGCTATCGAGAAGAATAAGAAGAAGATCGAGGAAGGAGAATTGGGGGTGAACCACGCTTGATTCTCAAATGGGTACAACGATTCAAAATTACTTTTTGTGATATTTGTTTCAATATAATACATACAACAATAGCTTCAGAAAACGTGATGAGTTGTATTCCTGTAGTTAGGACTTGATTAATCAATATTTTTGTGAGGTAGTATACCCTCTGGGTAGGGTGAGAGCAATTGGTTTTGATTATTTTGAGGCATCTGATCTGACTGACATCTCAAATTTTGTCCTGCAATACTTGTACCGAAATCTTTGGTGATTCCTTATTATTCTGAATAAAATGAAATTACTGATGGATGTTATGTCTTTTTAGTACAGCTTCCTTTTCATTATTGAAATTTTATGAACTGGTTTCTATATCCTTGTATTCTGACAAATCACCAGGGAGTGATATGTAATTATCCTAATTCAGGATCAGATGTCACAATTTAAAATGAAAGTGGTTGGGCATGGAAATTATTGAGATGCAATGAGACTTAAATATAAAGTTGTATTTCAATATATATAATAAACATGTTACTTTTTTTTTTTTGGTGATATTTGGAGTTTAATAGCATGTTTACAATGGTATCTTGTTGTATTCCTGTCACTTTTCTGTGTTTATGGTTCTTAGATTATGAGGTTGGAAAAAGTGAATGCTAGTTTGAAAAGGAGAAAACTTCATTGTTAATTTCTTCCTAATTGTGTCTTTGCGTTGGGTTTATTATTTGGCCTTCATTACGAGTATGATCTATTAACGTTTCATCCTAGGTAGGCCTTTTCAATGGGATACTGTTTGTGGTATAATTTTTATTTGTTTCTTTATTTTTTTTTATAGATAATTATTTTGATTTGTTTCTTCATATATTAATATAGAAGACTTTCTTGTCTTAGAATGGTAAGACTTTAGATTTTGGTTTTACCTTCTCTTCTATGTGCTCTAGTTGGGCTACTTTTTTCTCTAATATTTTTTTTTTAATTTCTTTTTTTAGTGAGAGAGTTTCTCACCATTTTCTTTCTTGTAAATTTTCTCTCATATATATAATTCTGTGTTTATCAAAGCAATGTCATTGTATAGATTGGCAAAAGAGTCTCTTAGTGGAGGAGGATTCTTTAAAGATTGTCTGTTTCAATAGGGTTCATAACTTCGTATCGTCGGGAATATGATATATTGATAATCAGACATGCTAACAATGACTGGGGAACGGTGAAAGTTGTGTTGCTGTTGACTGTACAGAGTTTTCAGTTCTATTTCTGTTTCAGTGTCCCTAACTATTACTGTAGTACTGTCAGTTTAGATCAGGCAATTTTTTTATCATTCTGTGGAACTTTATTGGATGTTTGGTTTCTCGATATTTCCGTGAGCTTAGTTATGCTTATTATATTAATTGTGGTTTAAGATATTGCCTGCTGCTTGATGAATGTTTAATTGCTTGGACTATTTGAAATAATCCTATTGGTACATTCCAGGCATCATGTTTCATTCTCTCTCTTCTGAACCCAAAATTTTGATATTAACTCAGGATTCTGAAAATTAGTGGTTGAAACTTGAAAGGTTGGTTGTTCTCTGATCCAATGTCATCACGTTCAGCTGTTCCTATTGAGAATGTTCTACTTTCTTTTTCTGAAAGGGACTCATCCCATCCTTATTTTGTGCATTGTTTGAGTTAAGAAATTTTAGAGATAAATAGATAGATAGAGAGATTGATTAATTGATTGATGAAAATTTATAAACTATGACTTGGATTCATACTGTTGTATATGCTGCAGACTCGAGTGGGTTACTTTATTCTTTTCTATTACATATTTTAGCACCTAGCTTACCCATGTCTGTTTCTCTAAGGTTTTATGTTTCTAATAAACCATCTCAAGACACCCATTGCTAATTGCAAGATTTTGAGTAGAATTTAATGATATTTATTGTCCAGTCTCCAGTGAGCTTTCATTGTAAGTACTTTGATTTCTTAGCAAATAGATTAAGTCTTGAATTTTTGGAACTTTGACGTAATCCTTTTTCTTCTCCTTTTAATTGCCCCTTGTCTGGCTGCCGAGAAACCGTGTGAAAAAGAGCATTGCCAGATTCCTATGTGAGTGTTCTTATACTTCTCCATGCATTTTCTATATGGTCATCCTTTGCTACATCTTTTTCATTTTGGAAAAAATTAGTGTCAAGAACAATTCTTTATTGATAATATAGCCCTGAGATTACATATCAAAAGCATGTAGAATCAAATTCCCAAAATAATACCATGGCCAAAAAGAAAGAGAAAATAGTGCCAGCACCGTTGCAACAACATATAGATATAAATCATCAAAATCCAACCATACTGATCATTGAAAGCAGGAAGATCTGAAATCTAATGCCAAAGAAGTGCGACGACACAGACGAACATCGGTAGCAGAACTCCACCACTGGAAGATGTCACCTGAAATCCGGTCCCGGCGTCCATAGCAGGCAATGGTGCAAGTCCTCCACTGTCCTGAGCCCTCACCACCGTCAGCAGAAGGAGCAGCACAGCCACAATGAGCCACCTCCTTGTCCTGTAGATGCTGAATCCTGCCATCGAAGAAAACTCAAAGGTAAGGGAAGAACGGATGAATGAAGAAGAGGACGGTATTATGAAATTGTTGCTGCAGATGGAAGTGAGAGAAGCATTATTTATAACAGGCATTTGGAGATGAATTGTTGTGTTTTGGAGATTAAATTGTTTGTGATTCATGAATGTTGAGTTTACTGATTGTGATGTTGCTTCTTTAAATTGCTTACAGCTCCCATTGAAGAGGACATATTAGCTTCCGCTGCTGCTCACAGGGCCCTATAACGCCTCTCCCGCAGCTAACTTGAGTAATTTTGTGGTATCAGGCAAGCATTCTATTTCTTCTGTTTTTCTCCTCTTCCAATGGCACTACCGTAATACTACTTTTCTTTTAATAAAACATTGCTTCATGGCTATAGTTGAGTTTGTATTAACCTTTTTTTTATTTTATTACTTTCAAAGGTATTGATGAGTTAATGTTGATAGAATTTTTGTCCATCCTCTTGTTTGGTTTCTAACTTTGAATATGGTTTTGGTCCTAAGGGGGTGTGTTTTTTATAGCTGGTTTAAAAATTGAAAACAAGTAAATGTTGTATTCAAAATTTTTACTTGAGTCAGCAAAATCTGAATACCATTTTAAAAAGTAAACCTATTGGACAGAATTTAATGAATTGAGTGAATTTGAACACAAGAAATTGAATTTAGGTGAGATACTAAACATACCTTAAATTTTGTTTTTTTGGTTTCTTGTGTCGTGAAGGTGTAGAGTGAGCGCGTGCCCAACTTCTTCGCGTTCTTTCTCACATCAAATAATGGTTGAAAGGATTTGAAAGACACTTTTTCAAATTCTAACCATTTGGTGTCGGAAAATATATAGAATTCACTCTTAAGGTAGGTGACCATCATGAGATTTGAGTTCATTACTTCTCAATTGGTACCCTAGCTCATTTAGAACCAATGAATGGTTATAATTTTTTTACTGACCAATAGAATTTTGACTTTGGCTATTGAACTTCTATTTACATCTTTTCATTTTTTTTACTTCACCTCTCAAAACTTTAGTTGCCTTCTCCGAGTTTCGGTTGAACTTCAAGTGCAGTAGTGTTTAGTCTCCTACGAAACCTTCTAAACTGAACGAGTTAGGGCTCCTACTCATGCATGGACAAGATAAACATGCTATTATTAAATGTCCAAAGGTTCAAATGAAATTAAAGAGGAATCTTACCTTGCCAGGATTTTGAAGTTGATCGGGAGATGAATATGTTATGATCTTGATAAAAATTACATCTATTTGCTATGATTGGGATCCTATTGGGCCTAGGGGTGACAATCCATGCTTTCAATGGATTTGATTTGTTAGCCGTCCAAGGAATTATACCCATGTAGGTATTTTAATAAAAAAACTTTTTCTTAAAAAGTTACGAAGTATTTTTTGGCTCTACGATATGGCTTATTAATTTTGAGTTGATTTTCGTTTTTACTTGATGGATAGATCAAATCCAAATAAAGTTGAATTCGTCAAAGAAAATGAACTTTTAATTAAGTAGATCAAACAAAATAACTTAAAGTTTTTTTTTTTTGAAAGATAAAAAAGTATTCTAACACTTACCAACAATTGCAAAATGTCAATAGAGTTGAAATGAACTGAGATATTATATTTTTGTGATCATAAACCATAAAGTTATTGTCTATGATGCAATTAATAATTCAATACCAATTTTCTTGTACCATTTTAATTTAGTTATCTCCTATTCTTTTCAATGCAATTGACTTCCTATCACATTTGATTGCAACCTTTTTTTCTTTAGTTGATTTTCAAATCATACCACTAAAAATATAAACAGAAAATAGCCACAACCAAAAATTCCCTCTTTATAAACAAGATAAAGTTACATATTTTAAAAAATAAGTTTAGCTTAAATTACAAATTAAGAAAATAAATAAAATTCACTTTATAATTTGGGCTGCTTAGAATTTCTAACCATACAAATAATTAAACTATCAATTGCACCGCATGATACACTCTTATCTTATTTTTGAAACTAACACCTTTAAATTTTTGTTAAAAATCAAGATAAACTACACTCCGTACCATAAATTTAATATATATTTTTAAAAAATGTCACTCATTTTTTTTTTCAAATATAATATTGACTTTTTTTTAACATGTTTTATAGTACATATTGCCTATGAATCTGTTTTTAAAATCTTAAAATTTCTATTATATATGAAAAATATATATTAATTTTTATGTTGTTTATGTAAAGG